TCGCCGCTTAGCTTTAAAGATAAAATGCAACCCTGCAAAATTTTATCTCAAAAAGAGAAACCTTGTTATAAAAGAAAAAAATAAGCTACAAAATTTAATTTCAAATTAAAAATATGACAGTTGTGTACTAAAAAGTGTGTGTGTATATATATATACACGACAGGTGTTTTTTTTTAGTTAAAAGTGTGACAAGTAGTGTAGATCTAAAATGAGGTGTGAACTTTGGGTATATGTTAAGTATAATCTTTCATTAAGATTGAATGTTAACCGATTTAAGTGTAGTTAAGTTATATATCCTCGRCCAAAACGAGCATAGTTCAATGGTAATTGGCATATATACCTCCAACTATGTGATCATGAGTTCGATCTCCCACCCACACATGTTGTACTAAAAAAAAGTTATATGTCCTCGACTAAAATGTTAAAAATTTACATCCTTACATTACCTGTTGGACTTAAAAAATGTTAAAAATGTTGAAATCTTCGTTCAAACATTATAACATTCTACTCTCTAAAAAAATTGTAAAATAGTTGAAAAGTATACACTTATCAATTGGAGTATTAAAAGATCTAATGACCTGAAAATTCCAAATACAACCGCTTAAATTACAAATTTAGTCATACACTAGTATCTAATAGGTGTCTAAATAAATAAATAAATATATATATATATATATATATATATATATATATATATATATATATATATATATTTTGTCTAATAAGCATTCCGAACCAACTAGACATTTTTTCAAACTCATGTATTTATTAGACACGAAATTAAAAACTCGATGTGCAACTAAACCAAAAATTAAATTTTAAATATATATAAAATATTTAAAAATATTGAATTAATTATAGAACTATTATATTAGATACATTTTTTAAATTTAAGGACTATTAAACACGATTCTAAAAATTCATAACCTAATATCGTAATTTATTGCACATATATTTTACTCTCTAGCTAATAACATTTAGAAAATAATCCCCCGAGTTAAAAGTCAAATATTTTTCTGTTGAGCTGGACGATTAAATATATATAGTTATTCGAATGGAACAAAATTATACTCAAACAATTAGATTAAGTACTATAATTAGAAAGAGGCAACACCCATCTATTGCCACCATTAAAATAAAATTCTGACCAGAGAGAAAAATATAGAAGGAAATATACTTTTGTATTTTCCAAAGAATAAAAAGCAGTTAAATTGTTTTATTTCAAAGAAAAAAATAAGCAGTTAAATTTCTAGTAATTATCAGGACAGGCCACAGGGTAAGTATTTTTCATATAAATACCCCATCTCCTAGGAAAAGAAAAACATATTAATTGAGAGACAGTCATAAAGAAGTGAGAGAAAAGATGTCTCGATGTCAAGGTATAAGTTAATTATAAACTTGATTCTGTGTGTATTATATTTGTAATTTGTGTGTTTTTTTATTTATTTTTGAAAGGTGTAATTTGTGTGCGTTTAGTGTTAATTAATTAGTTAATGTTGTTATTAATTTATGATCAGGAAAGAGCTCATGGCCGCAGCTGGTGGGATCGACCGGCGCGGCGGCGAAGGCGGTCATCGAGAGGGAGAACCCTCGCGTGAGAGCCGTCATTATAAAGGTCGGATCGGGCGCCACCAAAGACTTCCGCTGCGACCGGGTTCGGGTTTGGGTCACTGAGAGGGGAATCGTCGCAAGGCCACCCACAATTGGCTAGCCTCCGACCCGACCCGGATCCCATCCAGATTCCAATATATCTTAAACAAAGGGCCCTTCAAGCACATAATATAATAATAATAATAATAAAATAATACACACACCACATCAAAATTCTGCTTCTGCTTGTACATCGCCCCGATTACTAAATAAAATAATAATGCTTAATTATATTAATTATTTCGCCTCCTCTTTACTATTTCTAATTTTTGTTTTGTTTTCTAATTACTTAGTAAGATCAATTCATCATAAATATTCATCTACAAAGAGTATATTTATTTGTTCGAAAGTTTAAAAAATATATTTTATTTGGGTCTTTTTAAACCCTTAAAGAATGAGAAATTAATCGGCCTGGATGGTCTCTCAAAAATCACTATATTTTATTAACTAAAATGACACTAACTGAGATTTTATTGGATATGCAACCGAGGATGCTTTTTCTTGATGTTCATATATAGTCAATAAGTTGATTAATCCTTTTTTTTTTTTTGCATAGCACTAATTTTCTATTTGTTTGGTTAAACATCTCAAAATGAACAAAATGGCATCATCATATAACAAAATATATATCTAGTTATAAAAGTAGAATAATAATTTTATTAACTGAGCATGATTTTAATTTTCTATGGTGTGTAGAGGTATAAACCACTAGGATAGACTTCATGCAACATTTCCTTCATGGTGCCTTCAACCCAGCTGCTGCACCTTCTGCAATCAGCATAGTGGATCTTTGGATCATCTCTTTCTCTATTGTTCTTATTCCACGGGCTTTTGGAGACGGTTCTTCGAAATCTTCAACATTTCTACCGCTTTTCTTGCTATATATAGTGATGCTTTCATTTTGAAAAATATATCAAGATTCCTCTTTCCACCAATAGGTGATCTGTTCTTTGGTATAATGGCTTGTGCTCGATCATGTGGTTTATCTAACTGGAAAGAAACAATCGTCTCTTTACGAAGGTCTCTAGACCTAAGTCTATGGCTAATATGTGGGAGGACATCAAAACATTTCCACCAACTTTTATTTAGTCTCTTCCTCTTATTGAATGAGTAGTGTCTTGTTTTTTAGAAAGAAAATAAATTTGTGGCCCACCACTAAATTTCTTATAAATAAATTAGAGAAACATAAAGAGATAGAAAAGTTCTTAAATGTCAAATGGTTAGTGATGGACTTGCTATATTATTCTTTTAAAAGGAAATTATTTTCCAACATCAAGAATTAAAATATTATTTTTTTATCGGTCTTAAAGACCACAATAAATTATTTCAAATGTTCAATGTATTTTAATGATAATAAAACCGGTTGACTAATTAAAGTTCATACATTAACATTGGTTCTTCACCATGTGGCAAACATAAAATAAATAAATAAATAAATAAAGAGAAGTTGAAATGTATATACATTTTTATTTAATTTGAATTGTGACCAAACAAACACGCCCTATGCGTACACGCATTAATTTGCATACAAAATTTCTAAAGGATAAACTTTTTATATCACAAAGAGCAAAAATATAGATTAATTATTATATTATGTAGTCGCCAAAACCAAAACTAATGCTGCACTTCACATTTGCATGGGCTGCACCATCTCTTTTCTTCGTTTCTTCTCTTCTGCCTAAAATAACCAAACTTTACAATTCCAATACGTAATTCCATTTCCAACCCCAATTCTATTTGCTAGCTGACTCAAATCTCCACCCCAATCAATTCAAACACCTTCCAATTTCTCTACAAATTTAAAAAAGAAATGTATGGGAATTTCTCTTCAATGGTATATTATATATAATCATTTTTTAGTTCAATGGTCGCAGGTTAAAGAATTGGACCTTTAATGTTTAGATGATAATAGGTGGTTTATCCATTGAATTATACATATATGTACTCGTTTCAAAATCTTTTAGAGTTGAAGGAAATAAAAAGGTAGAGAGATCTTGAGGTGGATATAATACGTCAGCATTTATTTATGTTGAAGATTAAGATCTTGCCATTTTGATAAGTAATGAAAGGAGTCTCCTAATTTGTTGTAAATTCAAAAGATATATATATAATACTTTAAGGTTACGTGACTTTTCTCTAATTTGTCCATTTCTAAATTCTTAGAATCGAAAGATTATAGGTATAAAAAATAAGAAGGGTCTCTGGGAAAATTTGCAACTCTACATGTTAACAAAATGGCATGAACTCAAGGATATAAAAACATGGAGAGTTTTTATTGATATGGATATATGTTCAAATACCTCTCTAAATTCACTTTTACTATGGACATAGAGATTTTGCCATTTTGGCAAGTACAATATAATATATTTACATGACAATGACGTACACAAATAACAAAACAATCTTTAATGAATTCATTATTTCACAAAACATCCAATTGACTCCTAGCTTCCAAAGAATCCAAACGGGGCAAAATTAAGACCCAAGTTTTTTGGATTTTGAATGGAAGTAGAAAAGATGAATATCAAAAGCAGAAACGGCAGAGAGTTTCATATGAGAGCCTAGACCGCTCGAACCGGAGAGGCACGGTGTCGGTGAGTGCTTGGAAGATGCTGCGAACGGTTGGCAGCATAGTGCCTCTCATTGAGCGGGCAGCCAGGGCCGTTGGTGCCGGGAATGAAGGTGCAGCCGGAGGGGCCAGACGGCGGGATGCTGACCCTCTGAAGAGACTGCAGCTTCAGCTCTGTTCCTCTCACCATTGCTTGCTTCTCATGCAGAATTCTACCAGCCACGTTTGGCTGTAGCTGCAGAAGGAAAAGAATGACGGCCATTGCAAGAGCTAAATGGAGAGCCCTCATCATATTTCTTGCCACCTTTTGTTTTTCTTTTGCTTTCCTTTTCGACAAGTTTAATGAAAGAAAAGGTTTTGAGTTTGTTGATGGGGCTGCAATGATATTTATACTAAAAAGAACAGTGTCAGCTTTTGGATTATTATAATAGCTGCAAGGTTTTGACCAAAACCTCGACATAATTGAATGCGTCCTCTCCTAACAACTATAAGTGGCTAGTTTTGTTTGAACTGGAATAATTAACAACTGAAACCGTGATGCTTTTCAAGAGATATGTATGTATCAGCAGTGATGTGTAGCATTATAAGAAAGAACCGAAAGCAATCGACTTTCTCACTGGGGTTCATGCGAGGAAGTTTCTTGCAAAGCAGACAGAAGAGAAAAGTCAAAAGGAATAGGGGAAGAACTTTGTTTTTGGCAAATGGGATTTGTCTGTGGTGATATGTTTAGAATCAGAGTTAGACAGAATGGTAATATTATTGAATGAAATGTAAAAGGAAATAATAGAGAAAATACTGAAGCTCTATTTAGCAGTGGTGAGGATTCAGGATATTGTCGTATACGCAATACGCTTTTAACCAGATAACCAAAAAGGGCAAATAATCAAAAACCTCAACGACGACTAAATTTGCATTTAAGGCTAGGAAAGAGAAGACACTCTTTACAAATTGTTTTCTTATGAGAAGGATTACAACCCCACTCCAAATCCAAGACCCCAACAACTTCCTGGTACGTTATTACAGTGGACAGTACCCACTAACTTGTAGGCAAGCCAAATTCCATCCATGTTTTTGCTTCTTGCTTCTCACTCAGTGCCCATCTGACGGCCGAAACACGTTGTAGCCATTGATCCCATGCGCCATATTTGAGTACTCTGCATTAAGATATTGGTAACCATCAAAATCTAAGGTCCTTGTCCCGAGTAAAGATAGATCAGAAGCTGCGCGCCAATTTGGGATCAACCCATCAATCTGCCCATTTATGTGCTGTTGTTGACTGGATGGTGGAATATAATCCATGACTGGTTCGTAACGGCTGCTGGAAGAGCCATATCCCCGTTGAAACCCACCATCGTGATAGCTCCGTGTCCGCTCAAACCTGCAAGAGCTTGTCGATGACCCAACATCACCAGCCATCCCTCCCATATCACCAGGAAGCGAGAACTGCCTGTTCAACAAACTTGGTCCATTGCCAAGAGTCTGGAACACTGGGTTGTCTCTAGCTGAAATCCCAACAATATTTTCATCATCAAGCAGATCGTTAATTATGTCAAGGTGGGGAAACTCATCTGCAAAACCTTGGAGGTAGCGACCAGAGGTACAAGCTGGGAAGTCCCCTGGCAAAAGGTCATGGTTTCCACCACGAATTGGCTTCTTGTACAAATCTTGAACATCATTAAGCAGGGAAGAATTGTAATTCATGCTCCTAACAGCTTCCCTCTGCGAACCCTCTGCCCACTGGGGACTATTTGATAAGACATCTCGGGTTACCATGCCGAAAGGAAAACTAGATCTAACAGCATTTAGATCCAACCTTTCAGAGTTGTGCGGCACAAACACGGGTGAAGAAACCATAGCAGATGCTAAAGAGAATGTTGGAGATGGGTTCACACCTGAAGTTGGAGTGCTTAGATGAACATATCCAGCGGTGCTCGGTGCTACATGGTTGCCCATTATGGCATTTCTATAAGATTGGGGAGCATAACTATGTGTGGCTGGTGCAGGGTCTGGTCCTAACCGGCCTGCTGCACTCACTGAACGAGCAAGCAGTGGGGACGTGTGGACTACATTAACAACAGGTGCTGTAGCTCTTGGAGCAGGAATTAAAGGTGCACTGGAAGGCCTCGACATCATAGGAGCTTGCTGTGCGGTGGCCTTTTCAGTTGGTTTCGGAATTGCCGCCTTCTGAGCCTCTGCTTTTACAGCACTTACCACATGGGATGAGGCAACTACAGGCATCTTCTCTGTAGGAGATACGCTAGCTGAAGATGATGCTTTAGATTGAATAAGATCAACAGCAGCGATACTCGGGTTGCTCAACTTCTGTTCCACAGTTGATGGCATATGATCCTGGTGGTTCTGAGGGGAGGATGGTACAGCTGCTGACGCATCTTTAAGTATCCTTTCCATATCGACCTGGTTTTTAGAGCTTCGTTCCTTTGCCAATGAAATAACCTTCTCCTCCTATCACAATGAAAAAACTAAAAGTTAAAACAGCCACCTAATTTCCACATACTAGACTCAATATATATGCTGAATCAGTTTGAGAAAGTCCGTACGTGAAGCCAAGGGACATAATAGTATATAATTAAGAAGTTAGTTTCAAGAAAAAATTGAAGACAATTGGCAGACTCCTCAAGAATCAAATGGACCAGTAAGATAACCACGTCGACAATGGACAAAGAAATGAAAGCCTGAATGGTATCACAATTTGGCAACACCTACTGACGCTCTTTCATTTTATTCAGTCTAAAAGTTCAACATTTATGCATATGGCAGATTAAAAGAGCACCTTCTTAACTGCCTGCTGTTCAACCCTTTTTGTTCGACTCCGAAGAGAATGATTAATGGCCACAGGATCAGACTCTTTGGACTTATTACTACCACAAACCTCACTCCGGTCCTCCAAGTCAGCAGTAAGCTCTGACGACCGACTATCCATCTCATTGGCACAAATATTCTGATCATATGCTGGATCCTTATGCTGATTCTTTCCTCTACAAAATCAAAGATTCAAATCACTATTTATACCGATGCACATCCAAAGAAATATAGTTTGCTCACTTACATGCTCGGTGATTTCTGCTTCTTGTAGTTGTGAAAGGAATTCTCCTTATAAGGCCCGTTCATTACCACAGATGGAACTGAATCGGTAGAACATGTAGAAGAACTGTCATCCATAACAGACACGCTCTTCTTGTCAGATAAGGGGGTTTGGGCAGAAGACAGACTGCTAACGCCACTGCTACTTGCTTCCATTGAGCGATGAACTTCTGAAGTGTCAGTGTCCCAATTGATAGGACTGGCATCTCTGTCTTCTGAATCAGGCTGGAGTACTTCACCAACGCCTTCAACTGAATCAGAGACATCAGACACAACTTCTGGCAGGTCAGACTTTTCTAGCACAGGCTGCACCTCATCCACAATGACATCCTCCTTCCTATTGCTAAGGTTTTCTTGTTCTCTTACCAGTGCAGTCACATTAGCCTTTTCTTCCCTCCCTTTATCCTTAGCTTTGCGGTTGTTTCGTTTTTGTTTAGCCTGTTAAATTAAATTTCGTAAAACAGTGAGGAAACTATTGGTAACAAGACAAGGCAGAAAGAGAATAAAGGGGGGAAAAGGAGGAGGTGGTGGACAAATAATTAAAAAAGAGAGACAGTTAACAATTCAATTGACATGACACCTGTTTTTTCTTTGATTTCTTTTCCTTTTCTGAAGCTAATCGCCTTGCCTTTTGTTCAATTTCAGCCTGCCACGCAGCTTCTTCTTCACGAATGAGTTCCTCTTGCCTCTTCAATGCAACAGCCTCCTGATAGGCAACTTCAACTTTACTGCTGTGAGTAAAGAGAGAAATAAATATACCATTCAACTTCAAGATACAATTTGAATCATATTCGATGTGGGAATCATGCAGCAAGCTGCTTTTTCCACCAAAATTAAGAATGATATTTGTGCAACATAACTTTTCGTAAGAGAACATGCCATGAGAACCAACACTATTTTTAAAAAGTCTTATGGCAAGAGCGGCAACTTATAGCATTTGCTATAAAAAAATCCTTAAAATAAAACAGCAGCAAGATAAGGGGAAAATATCAACTCCAATGACAAGTAAAGGAGTTCCCAGAAATAGCTGAAGCTTACGCACTTATTACAGGATGGTTCTAACAAGATATCCGTAAAACTACTGGTGGACACATAGAAGTGACATTTGTAGAATTTAGGCAAAAGACAATTGCAACACAGGCTTGCAAAAAAAAAAAAAAAGTTGAGTAAGAAGCCTCTAAACTAAACAATTCACCGGCTTTCCAAAAGGAGTCATAAAACACAATACCTAAATATATGAGCGAGGACAAATATTTCCACAGTCCTACGACCCAATTCTGTAAGACGCCTTTCATCGCGTTCAATGGAATCTTTGTTGAAGTCTTCTCCAGAGCTCCCATCCTGCAGTCAAAGTTTATGGTTTCTTCAGGAAACACTACTAGGTATATAAATTATTATAATAAGAATTATTATAATTGTTATAGAAATGGGGAGGTGGGTTGGAAACTCTGTTCCCAACTGATCGTAAAATCAATATGCTAATAGCATTGTATCAACTACCATCACTAAGTGGTGTCCAAAATCCATCTCACAAGTTTGTTATCAGAACTAATTTAAACCATATAGTCATAAAAGTAGGGTGGGTAACAACAAATCAAGCGCTGGTCAATGTTTCGTTTGTATGTCCAACCTACCCACCATTAAGTTTTCAAGCAGACCATCCTTTCTTCCCACTTAAGAACTTCGACAAGCATTATCAATCAGACACTCACCTTAGTACGATTTTGAGGGCCCTTCTCATCTTTTGGTGGTAATGGTTCCATAGAAGCCCTCTCAAGCAGCAGTAGAACATCATCCACTAAAACAAATGTGTCTTTCTCTATGTGAACTATTGGAGCTGGCATCTCTTCAGCATCTAATAGTTTTGCTTTTCCCTTTTTGCACTTGGTATGCCCTTCGAGAGCCTTCAATCCACTGTATAATGAATCCATCACTAGAGTAGATGTCACCTCCTTCTCTATAAAGAAGTGTTTTACAACAACTTTTAGAATTGTGTCGGTCTTTTCCCTAGACATACGTCGCCTAGCATTCTGGTCAATTCCCAACCAGAAAGCACGAAAACTGAAAGAAAAAAAAAATGATTTTGTCATTTAAAAAGACAAAATAATAATAGTAATAGTAATAATAACTATATACCAAAAAGACAGTCCAGAATTGATAATATATGCAAAAGGGAAGTAAAACACTAAACTATTTGTTTCTTGGCTGTGAGAGAGTTTGGTGGTACAAACTTCTCGGGGAATTTGGTGTAAGATTTCTTCTAAAGAGATTCTCTTCTTTTTCATTTTTTCTTCCTCTTAGGAGAAAGGAACTAAGTATTTCATTCAAAAGTGAAGACAATGGAAAGGAAAGAAAGAGGAATCCTCCACAGCCATAGAAGTTACAAAATCTCTCCAACTGACTTCAATATCAAAAGATTATCATAACAAAAGCTCTTGTAGAGACTACACCATCCAGAAACTCAAAATATGATTTTATACGAAATCTAGTGTAGTAGAAAACATATCTTTGAAGGTGCCTTCATTCCTTTCCAACCAATCGCCTAGATAAGCACCTCCACCAAAGGCCTCCAGAAAGTCCTCTTTCTTAAAGATCTCCATAGGAAAGATACTATGCACAAAAAAGTCCCTTACCAAGGGTTGGTACCCCCAATTGACATTAGCAACTTGAAGACAAGTGTTCACAAGGTCAAAGAAAAGGAACAAGTAACAAAGATGTGATCCAACGCTTCCTCCTCTTTTTAACAAAGATTAATAGGTTATCATCGTATTTAAATTATGGTCTGATCTTCAAGAATAGAAAGGCTATTACACTTGAGCCTATACAGCTCTGAGCGAGCAAAACTGGTTAGAACATAGAGGACTCCTTTTTGATAAGGAAACAGAAAAGAAAAAAACAGGACTCCTTAAAATTAGGGTAAGAAAATCCATTTGACTACGGGACAGGAATATGTCCTGTCTTCTTATTTGCTCGCTACTTCGGAGCTTTTCCACCAATATACTATTTTAGGTACTGATTAATTCATTGAATATTTGTGCAAATATTCCAGAGTACCATCGTTTCTGTTTTTCTGGTTGCTTATGGTAAAGGATACCTTAATTTCAGTTTTCCCTTCTAGACATCTGTTTTATATATTAATATATTATTTTGTTTCTGATATGAAGAATAAATTAGACAAATAATTCTAATATTGTCCTTAAAATTGATAAACCATGGATAACCTGTACTACCTTGACCATCTAGCTTTATCCTCTATCAACTTTCCCAGCTTGCCTCTTCTCTCTTCCACAAAACGTCGGCATATCTGCTCAACATTTGTCAAATATACCCTGACAAGTTCTCTCCTATACTGACAATCAAGGCAACGAAAAGGCCGGTCAGCTCGCTCCCTGCATGAAAGAATTCAAAATCATGAAATTTAAAACATATCCAACAACCGGTTTCATTTGAAAGAGCAAAGCCACCGCAATCTTAGACATTCCAATCAACTGAGATCAATATTAACTTTTTTTCCCTTGTTATCTTCCTTTTTGTATGTTAACCCATTAAAAAAAACAACAAAAAAAAAACAAAGAACAGAGACTTTTTTGTTTTGGGTTTGACATACATGGGATTTGAGTCTATCAAATTTACATTGATAAAACAGAAGGGTCATTGATTACCAATGGAAATATAACTTAACATACTAGAAAACAAGGAAAATTGAGCATCACATAGATTGCAAGAGAGAGAGATCAGCAATTTCGGATATAAATCAGAATCAGAAAGTACCTAATTACTTGAACTTGTGCTTTTATTATGAGAGTGTCAGCATCAATAAAACCATCTAATACTTTCGAAAGCTCCATGAACTTTTTCCATCCCCAGTCATGCTCTTTCTTCCAGAACCGATGTAAGGTATCTGTTAAAAAGCTTTATTTCATAAGTTATGCCGAATTGATGTAAGAAAAACTTGAAAAGCAATGTAATACAACCAACCAGAATATTTTGATTTCTTTGGATCCTTATTCACCACTGCTATTGTAAACTGTGCAAAATGGCTCCAACCTGTTTGCAAAGAAAAGATGTTGAAGGTGATTAAACATATTGAAAAACAGTATAGTTCTTACTCAATACAATTCAAACTGAATAGTACCTGGAAGGAGTTTGTCATGATTTGCGACACAAAGAAACAGGGAGAGATGATTGCAGACATCACAGCCTTGAGGATATATTAAAATATACCTGAAACAAGATTGTATAGCTTATAAAAGATAAAGGATGGTGGAAGACCAATTTCCAACAGTAATTTACATGCTCCTGCAAGAAACATGCATAAATGCATGGGTGATTTTGCAGATACCAACGGATCAATTCTCATCAATTATCATGTGGGAGAAAAGGGCATCTATAAAAGAAAACATGGCATCAAATTTTTCTCATTGATGCCGTATAAAATAAAGTTTTCTGCAAGGATATGCACTACAAAAGTTATCAGATTGAACACCACGGGGGAATTAAGGAAGAACATAAATCCATAATTGAAGATATAGCATCCAAAAACCTAGTAATAGATAACTTCAGACATTAAAAGGATAAAAATTCATAATGTCAGCAAAAAGATGTGAAGACATTGACTTGGAATTCCATGGGAAAAAATGCACGAGACATACAAAAATGTAAATTGCAAACTCTCAAATATTTCTGAAGTTCTCATTTGGGATAGAAATATTATTTCATAGATATTCTCATCCACATACCATTTGTAGCCGCCAACCTCAAATGCATTACTTCGAAGTTCTCGTTTGTTAAGTTGAGAAAACTTCTCTATCTTCCACGTATGTTTTCCATATAATTCAGAAGGTTTTGGCCCTACAAAGATATAAGATAAAAACATTAAGAAATATTTTTATAGTATGTAGACATATGGTAGATTCAATCATCCAAGCATCAAACTTTTAAAACAATGGAATAGAGAACAGCTATCGTGAGAAGGGAGAGAGAGAGGCAGGGATGGAGATCAATACCACAACCCAGATATTTGAAATTAGAGAACGAGATACATAAAGTTAATATTATAAGAAAGATATAACCTGCAATAAAATAATCTACTCTGCCCAATAAAACTTTCAAATTTTACTCCAATGAGATATCCCAAGGTTTAGGCCGTGCACATGACTGATATCAAACACCAATAGATGCACGTCATGCAGATAGATATATCAAAATTCATTGTCCTATTGTTAGAATTCCAAATAATCCACAAAATTTCACATATTTATCCTAAGAATAATAAAATACTCCCTGTTCTTTGCATGAGTCCCAACTTGCTTAAGAGCTTCTGGGAGAATGTCATCTCATTGCTAAGCAAAATACCCCCACAGACATAAGGCATAGAAATGAAAGTAGGGATAACGAGCCTACCAGCATCATCATCATCATCATCGGTGTCCCAGTATGGAGGTGAAGTTGATGGTGTTCCATTTTCCACTTGTTCAGAAGACCTCCATTCAGCCAACGCTTCTCCAGGTTGACTGTGATGCCCATTTGCAATACTACTATCCACCGACCTCATCCCTTCAGCCTCTTCGCTAACAACACTAGCCATCTTCCTCTCAAAAGAAATAAGTTTGTTCAGAATCTACTCCTCTCACTGAATGATGCAACACCACGAGAGGTAAAAATCAGGCAACGTGAAAGTAAGGACGATTTACATATACAGTTAAACCTTCCCCACCGGGAATAGAAGCTAATTAGGCTCCTATAGATAATAGATGTAATGAATGCAAAATTCAAAAAAGCAGGTCGTGCATCAAAAAATATATATATTAATCCATATGATGCAGATATCAGTTTGTTCATTCCTTCAACCATTGCAATGTCAAAAAAATTAGAATTGTTTCCATCTGGTTAATTTCAAATGGAACCAAACAGACCCAACTTCTAACAGCTGTCCAAACCAAAAAAAAAAACCTACCAGACAAGAACGAAAGACCATTACACTCTAAAGTCGAAAGATTCGGAAGGGTAATCAATAATTAAGCTAAACGTCAATCTCAAAAGAAAAAGAAGCGAAGGAGAAAAAAAATTGAAAACAAGAATCAAAACCTCCAAAAAAAAATACGAGAGGCGCAGAAAACATAAACCCAGAAAAAGGAAAGGAAGTAAGCAGCCGTATTAGAGGCGATGATCGCAGATAGTCAATCCCCAGGAAAAACCCCGATCAAATTAAAACCCTACAGGAGAAAAAGAATTCGGGGAAAAGAAAAAATCCAAATGGGCGATATTGGATACGACATCGTGCAGATCAACTGAGCATACAAACCTTGAAGGAGTAACAGAGGTGCGAGAAGGGGCAATGGAAGCTGAGAGTGTCTGGGGGGGAAGAGAAAGAGAGAACTCAGAGAAGGGAGAAGACAGAGATGGAGAGAGAGAGAGAGAGAGAGGGGAGGGAGGTCGAAGGAGCAGCAAAGGAGAGAAGAGAATAGAGATAGAGAGAGAGGTGAGGCGAAACCCAAAAAGAAAATCGAGAAATTCACCATTTCTTAGAAATCAATTACGAAAATTAATAATTGGGAAAATTAAATTAAATTAAATGTGGAGTTATATAATTTTATTGCGTAAGGAAGAGAAAGAAAGCGCTGAGATTGGGGGATTTTCGTAAACTAGGAAACGATTCGTCGTTTAGGAATAGATTAGTGGCTTTATTTTTTTCGATTTTTAGGGCGAATATTATGAATATTTGATATTACTATTATTATTATTATTATTATTAGGGTGGTGGAGGCTGGGTGCAGTTTGAGTTCGATATAAAGGGTCGGTGAAGGCCGCGAGAAGGGCAAATGGGTTCCATTCTGGAGTCTGGACTCACTTTCTCTTCGGCCGACGCTGCTCCTGCTACTGCTAGGGTTTCCCCATTCTGGGCCTTCCACAATTCCCTTTCGGCCCCATTCTCATTGGGCCCAAATACCCACCTCTCTACCTCTCTCACTGGGCCTGATATTTAATGTATTTTCGAAGGGTGGTTAGATACGTGGTTTAATGTTTACATCCCATATTGTTTGTATTATTTACTATATCCATGAATTTATCTCCCTTCCAAGTAGAGCTAGCTTCCAAAAAAATCAAAAATAAAAATAAAAATAGAGCTAGCTTCTAAATAACTCGGAGAGGCTTCATTTACTAAGGGAGCTCAATTTTTATCGGCTAGTTGTTGAGTCAAATTTGATTTGAGAACACAAAAAGAAAAAAAGACATAGGAGGCTGGTTTTATAAAAAATAAATTATCTCTCTCTATTAATCTGTTTTCTCTATCTTCTTTTTATTGATCTCCCTATCATTTATGCCTATCATTTTATGGCCAAATTCGACCGACTATCGGAATATTGGGTTGTCAATATTGTAAAGCGTCGAAAATCGACTTGTCAATGGTTGGTGTCGATTTAGCCAAATCATCTCAATCATAAATACTGAGTAGATTACATAGGTCTCAATTCATAATTCATAATTATTTGTTTATGAATAATAAGTTATAAATACTATTTTTCTTCATGTTATTTACTTTTAAAAAACGTTTTTAAAAATCTATGCGAATTTTGTAAAATAAAAAAAATACATAATAAATATAGCTAAGAGTTATAATATTTATTTACAAAGGGTGGAAAATGTAGTAAAATTGTTTTGATTTTGTTTGGTCGAGATGCAAATACAGACCAGCCCATTTAGTTTATTGCACTAAAAAAGTACAGCCCATTTAGGTGGCCCAAAAGCTGAGGCAAGAGAAGTAGAATTGGAGGGAAGCAAAACTTCGAAGTTCAAACTCGAGCCGCGCGTTCCATTTTCCCCATTTTAGAATTATCAATTAGGTGAAGACTGAATAGTGAAGAGTCTGAAGACCTTCTCAATTCAATTCCAATTTTCAATTTTCAGCAGCGAGAATTCAAATTCAGAGGCTTCACTTCACATCCTCTCAATGGAATCCTCTGCAATTACTCTCATTATAGTTCAAGGCCCTCGCGAGGGCGAAACCCTAGAATTTCCATCCGGAACCACGATTCGGATTGGTCGCGTTGTTCGGGGTAACTCTATCGCCATTAAAGATGCTGGCATCTCCACCAAGCACCTTTCTATCCAACCTGAGCCTGTATCAGGTAAGTGGGTACTCCAGGACCTCGATTCGTCCAATGGCACATTTGTTAACGATACCAAGCTTCCTCCACACGATGCATTCGCTCTGAGCGACGGCGACACCATTAAATTCGGCGAGTGGACCTCGATTTTGGTCAGAATAAACACTAATGAAGAGTGCCGTTCGAGGCGAAACCCAAGGCGGAAAGCTGCAGAGAAGTGTACAGGTGCGGATGTGGTGGGATCGGTTGCGCAAACTCGGGGTCGAAGAGGAAAGGCTGTGGAAGAGGTCAGCGTACTTGGGGGAGGTAATGACGCGGGGTTGGAGAGTGGAAGATGTCTAAGGCCGAGGAGAGGCAGGGGTGTGAAAGCTGAAATTGATAACGAAGTACCGGATTGCAAAAAAATTGAGGACAATTTAGATGTGGGAAGAGGGTTAGAGAGTGTGACTGATCTGGAAAACGAACCCAGCCCAAAAATTACGGCAAGAAGTACCCGGAGAGCGAAGAATGATGTGCGTGTGGCTGCAGATTCAGTTATCGGGAAGGTTCCCGAGAATTCATGTGTGGGCGGTGAAGTAAAGGCAGGGGCAAAAAAGACGAGGGGAACTAGGGGAAGGAAGAAACTGCAAAATGAGCCGCCGGATTGCAGTACAGTTACAAAATTGGAACACACGGAAGCCATAGAGCAGAGGAGCTCAGGAGAAAATACCTTGGTTGACGATGAAGAAGGCAAGAAGAATGTAAACGTTGAAGAGACTGGTAGCGGGTCTTACCCTCAAGAGGCCTGCGATCCAGATGTAAACGAAAATGTCTGTATTATTTCAGAAGGTTGCGAAGAGGTTGCTGGTGGGAGAGCTTCACATGATACGGATTCACCTTGTAAAGCCGACAAGGCGCTAGATTTGAAGAAGATGACACTTGGGGAGTGGTTTGATTATTTGGAGACTCATTTGCCCAAACAAATAATCGATGCAACAGAAGAAATAATTTCTAGTATGAGAATTAAATCTGCGCAAGTACGGGAGTACATCGCACGGCAGAAGAATGAGGAATGCAGGGGAGGTTAGTGGAAGGAAAACTCTGATGTACGAGGTAATCCTTTTGCCTCCTCATTTGATTTAAAATTTTGTATAGATCTCTGTTTGTTAATCATACCTTTCTGACCTTTTAATATATCCTCTATGACGTCCTGTGTAAAACATTGCTCTCATCTGTCAATCTATCTGGCATTGACTTTATGTGACTTAAGACTTGTATCCTTACTTAGATTAGGGACTGTAATCTGGGTGACATCAGTTTTCATTCATGGAAACGATGCAATGGCATGGTGATTTTATGGCTTTTAAACTCCACGAGGAGTATAATTTATGTAGAATCTATCAAAGAAGTTTGGGCTTGTGTATCAGGATTTTTTTTCAAGGAAATTAATTATTCAAGAATTTATCAGATCTGATGAGACAGTAGCTTAAACTAGTAGCAGAGGAAACAGTCAGTCTCTTTCTATTATGCAGAACTTAAACTCGTTGGATTGGACTTTCATCCTATCAAGAAACACTTGCTTGTTCATGGGACAGCTTGGAGAAATTCAAGAATAGAGAAAAGAGAGAGAAATTTGTGCAATTATTCATGGGACGATTCCACTGTTGTTGAGGGGAAAATCTTATGAATGCAATCACTACCTGGCACATGTGGAGTGTATTTGCTTGTTCCTTAACAGGAAAAGCAAGTTAAAGTATTTTTAACCGTAGGAATATGACCCACAATGCATGCTCTCAAATCTAGACACCAGTTCGAACAGGTTTGGTTCAAAAGTAGCCACCACTATATTGATTCTCTTGTGATAAGGATTATCACAACTAGAAAAGTGCTCTTATTTAATGGTGTTTGAGTAGGTTATAATATTCATGGAAATAATATGAGAAGCCCTCCAATGATTGTCAGGTAAATGCAAACAATGCAGGTGGATACAAAGAAAGCATCAGAAATAGGAGCGTAATGCCTTCCAACAAATGTTTACTGAGATCACGTAGTCTAGACAGTTTGACCAAAACCACAACCATTAATTTGTCTAATGGTTAACAAGATACATAATGAGTTTATTGGTTCGGTACATCATCCCCCATTTTAAGCTCGAGGGAGATCTCAAGTTCCACGACATAAACTTGATCTACTATTGGCTAGTAAATTAACCACGAGCTTTAAAATATACAGAACCTTTCTTTTTTATTTTAGTAATATGTAGGAGAAACTGCTACCAAGAAAGACGATCGGCATGGGAAGCAATTGAATGGCCTTTACTAGTACTGCATAGCTAAATCCGGCCTTAGCCCGTGTAACCAACTTGCCATTTGAAACTACTCAGAAATTCTGACATCTTGGGCATCCATTATCTAATTTTCTCCAAGTAATGGTTAAAATTAATTCTAAAATTTAACTTGATTTCGAACACGTTTGTGTAAAATTTGTCCTAAAACTGAACAAACTTGTTTATCTTTCTCCTTCAGTTTAATTTATGACACGTCTCATCCCAATATTTCTCGTCCACAACTCTCACTTATGTAAACAATACCTGTGCCTTTACCACACTTGTGGAACCTATTTCTTATGAACGAGCAGCATTAGAACCAAAATGAAAATGGCAGGAAGTCGTAGTTATGAATTACATGCACTTTAGCAACAAACTTGAACTCTTCTACTTCTTTCAACTATTGTCTCATTGGGTGCAAGCGGACGTACAAGATTAAATATAATTTTGATGGCAAAAGTTAGTGGCTCAATCCGACTTCTAAGGACAATTTAACTAGTAAAGATTAGTTGGTTTAAATTATCCGTCATGGGTTGAATTCTCCCACCCACACATGCCTTTGTAAAAGGTAAAAAGTTTCAGTCGGCGTGACTTGATTGTAAGAGTCAGTTAACTATAGACGGTTGTTTGCTTGATATAGCTGCAGTTGGAAATTGGACAATTCACCAAATGTTTATTGAGAATGCTTTGGTGTTTGCTTCAGCAAGTTAATTACCACTTGCTTTTAGTTATTGAGGGCGGTAACTTATGGTATATTAGAGATACGCCTCATTTTATGCCCTTTCAAGTGAACCTCTTGTAGTTGGTTCTAGAGATTTCATGTATTCAGAGTGTGGTTTCTGTGAATTTGGTTATTCATGTTTCCGGAAATTTTGTTGATTTAGAGTTCGATGTCGTTTGCATAGGTACTCTTCATTCGCAAATGATAGACACTCTTGACTTGGAACATTCCATTCTTGTCCACACCCCCATATGATCTCATCATCACTTCCAATATTCCTTAAAGAGATGTCTAATATAGTCTCAGAATCACTGGCAATGGAGCTTTCTTTCCAAGTACCATTCTCGTTCATTAGATGAGTAACATTTTTGTCTTTAATCAAATGTGAGCATAAATAGGCTTATAATGTTAAAATACAATACAACATTAACTATATCTGGAAGCTTCCTGAGGTATCTACACAAATGTCTTAAATAAGTATCTAAAGAAAAGACTTTAGAAAAATCTTAGCTTTTCCCTTAGGCTTAAAAAGATTCTAGACAATTTCTTTGGATAAGGATATATTAAGAAGTATCTAGGATACTTTATAGAGGGGTTTAGAAAGATCTATTTGTTTAGGCTCCAAGTATCCTTCCCCTATAAGTAGGAGAGATGTTCCCTCGTATTAAGCAAGTGAGGAAAGTGAGCGAAGTGAAGAGAGTGAATCTGTGAGAGTCCTAGTAGGGATAGTTTAGGAATATTATTAGGATATTATGGTAATTAGTTAGGGGTGAGTTGTTATAAATAGGGGTAGTAGGGAGAGGAGAAGGATATCTTGGAGAATAGTTTATGGTGAGGAAGTTGAGAGAGTTCTTGGGGAGTTCAAGTGAGTCAAATAAGTGGAGTAAAGTTAGAGGGTGTGAGAGAGCCTTCTCCCAAAGAGGGTTCATTTGTGTACTTTCCTAATAAAAGTTCCTTTTTTTAAGAGATCCCTTTAGGCTAATTTCATTTCTTCTGCATATAACTTCCTTAATCCTTTCTTTGGCAACCATGGGTCACTTATACAGTTATACTTTGTGTGTATAATCCGTTACCAATTCGCCACTTTTAACCCTTCATAAATAGCTCTTTGGCCACATGATGCTTCCCCATATACACGACAAATTATTTTCTAGTTTTGAATTCAGATAACTTTTGGTTCTGAAATATTGGCCTATTAGAATTCTAGCCAGCAGATTTCCTGGGTTCTTGATTCTTCGCCAACTTTGTTTGGTGAGCTTAGCTCGGTTGAATATTTGAAGCTCTCTAAACCCCATATTTCCTGCCCATGTATTTTCCTTTCGTTCCACCAAAATCTGGCACAAAGAGCATTTAATTCAATGCATAACTTGTAGGGGAGATAGACGTAGCTCATGATATAGTCTGGATTGACTTCTGGCCTAACATATTGTTTTATTTTCAAAAAATAATAAAGTTCTTGCGTATCAGCTTTAATTTTATCAAATTAAAATTTAAACATAATTGGTAAAATAACCATCATCCTAAAAATTCATAATTCACATTAATTTCTGACGTCCGCGGTCCTAAAATCTGACGATTCACTCAAAATCTAGCAAACAAAATACTTCAAATCTAGTTTCAAAAGAATGCCAAATACAGTCTCATAAATAAGAGGAAAGAATCTAGAGAAGCAACTAAATCCCAGTAAGGAAACACAAAAAACCAAAGAAAAAAAAAAACGAACACACACAGTCAAAACCACACTAAACTGGAACTCTTTAGAAAATAACAATCACAACAAAAATAAACATATTTTTGGCATGAAACTATTCGCCTTGCCTATGCAGCCTCTTCTTCACGAATGGGTTCCTCCTGCCTCTTCAATGCAACAGCCTCTTGAAAAGCAAGTTCAACTTTACTGCTGTGGGCAAACAGAGAAATAAATATATCAGTAGGCTTTGAGTTGGCAATTTGAATCGTTTTCGACGTGAGAATCGTGCAGCAAGCTGCTATTTTCAATAAGCATAAGGTATGATATTTCTATAACCTAATTTTTTTCTGGAGAGAACATGCCACAAGAATCAACACTTTCTGTTACAGTATTATTTATGATAAAGACAGCAAGTTACAGCTTTATGACTTTTTTAACCTAAAAAGACTACTACAGCTAGCCAATGGATAAATTACCACTTCCAAGGTCACAGCAGAAATAGTTGT